CAAATGGTGAGCTGCAGGCCCTGCTGACTTTTTTGCTTTGATTGACTCTATGGCATGACCTCAAGGCTGGACTCCATTTTTCTTTAAAGGGCATTTCTCATTTTCTCCAAATTACAGACTCATCACTGAGGCAGTGAGTGAAGTTCAGCTCCTCCACAAACTAAGTGCTGCTCAGGTTCAGGTCTAGATGTTTCAGTCTCATGAGCTCCCAGAGCCTGACGTTTTTTTGTGAAAACAGATCCTGAAGAGCCATCAATCCCTTCCCGGCTCAGAAGTTAGAGAATAGCAGAAACAGTCGTGTTTAGGGCCATGATTCTCAGAGTGGATTTGGGGCTGACTGGAGGTGGAAACCCCAAGTTCAAGGCCAGTGGTCTTCTCCCAGCGATGGACAGGTGGCAGAAGGGCCTATTGGAATCACAAAGGAGGCCTCTTCATAAAACATTCTTCCCACGGACTTCTGCTATTCCAGGCCACAGATGGCTGGCTTTCAATCTTTTAGCACAAAAAATACTCTGTCACCTCCTTTTCTTTTTCAAATGAAATCTTATCAGGGACAACAGATAAAATTGGAGGCAGTGAGGGCACTGGAACCCCACCCTCTTGGCCACCCCCACCCAGCCACCATCATGAAGCCTGGCCACAGACATTTTAACCTGGGCTTTTTTTACTATATGTGTAATCAAATACCTAGCTCAACCATTAAAAAAAAAAAATCTTGAGAAAGTTCCCACAGAATGTCTAGCTCTGAGCAATGCAACTTCCCGGTACACCCTCCAAAGTAAACCTGATGTAAACTGTATGACAGAGGTAGAGTGAGGTAACCAGCCACATGGAGTTATTAGTTGTAGACCTGTTAAGAACAGCTAATACTGTGACGCTAATGCAAGAGTCACCTTGCAGCCCTTTCCTTGGGAATTGATAAGTGACCAGTGACCATTCTAGTTTAGAATAACCAATCTATCCTACTTTAGGATAACAAAATTCTTTAATCTGTTGATAAGAGAATGTTTGTCTTTTAATTGTCTTGCAAACAGCTAATCTAAAACAGTCCCAGATCAAATGACAATGACCAAAGGAAGGACAGAACACTATCCTTCCCCTCCATATGCACTGCTTCCCAGAAAAGCTTTCACTGATATGATCTGATAGGATGCTGACTGTTTAGGTCTGTAGATGCTATAAAGTCTCCCAGGCAGGGCCATTTTAAATCTTTGTGTGTCCCAGCTCTCATTTTGGAGGGACACACTCTGCTCACATCAAACATGTTAAAATGCACCCAGCATCTTACATTAAATTGTTTCTCTTTAAACGTTTGAAATGAATTGTATAAATTTGTTTTTGAAATAATTCTTTGTTTGCCCAGGTTTTTGTTATCGTTCTTATTTTCGATCCGAGAACATTTTCTCAGGTCTCAAACAGTTTTAGACCCTTGAAAATCTTGTAGATTCCACACACTGCTGTTATCTGCAGTGACCATTAGATAAACCAGCCCTGGCCCATGAAGCTCACTGCAGGGTTTACTGTGAAGAAAAAGTTGACGATGGTGTTTGTTCTATGAGGGGATCTTCAAAAAGTTCGTGGAAGGATTTGTATTATCTTTCACTTCTATTTTTTCCATGAATATTTTGAGGTATCCTCGTATTAAGCAATGTCCTACTGGTGGGGATGTAACAGAGAAAATTCTTCTCTGGTTTTGGTATCAGGAGCAGTTGTGCTTCTATTGTTTTTATCTTGGGGGCCCATGAACCACGTACGTGATCAGGTTACCCTCTTCACACTGGCCGCCAGGAAGCTCAGAAAACATGCACAGCATTTTGTGCTCTGAACTCACTCATGACCCATCTTTCCTACCCTAAATTTCTCTTTGCCTTGTTTCTTCTCATTTATTTTAAATTCATTTTATCTAGATCAATTAAATGTCGGTAGGCTTCCTTAAATCCTTTGTGGACCAAGGCAGGATATAAATAAGTCAATATGAGGGCTGGCCGCTTAGCTCACTTGGTCAGAGCACGGTGCTGATAACACTAAGGCCCAGGGTTCGATCCCTGTACTGGCCAGTTGCTAAGTAAACAAATACATACATAAATAACATTATTTTTCCCTAGAACTGGCTTTCTCCCACTTCTCTGGTATTTCTTATTTATGATGACCCTCTATTAAAATGGTAGTTTACATTTACTGAGTACTTTCCAACTGCTTGCACTGTGCTAAGTGCCTTTTTTCCTTTTCTTTTGCAGATTTTTATTTTTTTTATTTTTTTTATTTTTTTTTGTCTTTTGTCTTTTTCTGTGTCCGGCAACGGATCGCAACCCTCAGTGTTGCCCCCGTACCGGACCGGGGACCGGCAACGGGATTGCAACCCTCGGTGTTGCTCCCGTGCCTCGCTCAAGATTTTTATTTTTAATTGACATGTAATGACTGTACATGCTTATGGGGTGCAGAGTTATATTTTAATATATGTATACAATATGTATACATGCTTTATGTGGATCATTTCATTGAGTCACAACTCCCAAGATAGGTGCTATCGTCCTATTACTTTTCAGATAGGGAAACTGAGGCTTGGATGCATTGAGTAATTTGCCAGGGCCGCCCAGCCAATGAGAGGCAGGACTGGAATCCATCACCGGCTGGTCCCACGGCCACCCCCTCATCCCAGACAAAAATTTGCCTTCCTCATGGGTGCCTTTTTCTCTATTCCCTTCTGTTGATTTGGCCTCCTAAATTTAGCCTCTTCTGCTCCTCTCCTCTCCGTCCTCGGTTCAACTCATTTCAGGGCCCTGGTGATCTCTGGTGGGACTTCCACGGAAGCTTCTTAGGTGATCTCCCTGAATCCAGTCCTGTCCTCCTCAGATCTAACCTTCATGTTTCTGATATTCGAATTCATCCACATCTAGAAGCTCCACATCTAGATGCACTCAGGACCATTGTGATCTGTCCTTAGCCTACCTAGACAAAATGTGACCCCACCCATGCCCCCAGGAAAACAAATTATTCACTCCCCAAAACAAGGAGCACGTGCGACACCTTGGAGGCCATGCATGTACTGTTCCTTTCTTCTGTACCTGGTGAACCACACATCTTTTTTTTTTTTTTTTTTTTTTTTAAAGATGACCGGTAAGGGGATCTCAACCCTTGGCTTGGTGTTCTTAGCACCACGCTCAGCCAGTGAGCTAACCGGCCATCCCTATATAGGATCCGAACCCATGGCCCTGGTGTTATCAGCACCACACTCTCCCGAGTGAGCCACGGGCTGGCCCGAACCACACATCTTTTATGTTTCTGGTCAAAACACCATCTCCATTGTGAAATGTTCTCTGACTCCTAAGGCTCAACCCTCTTCCCTCGGTAGAGACCTCCTCAGCACACTTCTCTCACTGTATGGTCACTATTGACTTGTCCTTCTCCTTGTCCTGCACCCTGAGCTCCTTAAGGACAAAGGCTGTGTTGTCCTACTCACTTTGGAGTCCCTATCCCAAGGGTCAACTTCCAGCAGCTATTTGCTAATTGTTGGATGTTCAACCAGTGCTAATCCTGAACAGGACTCTCGTCCACTGTGTGAAGATTACCCTTCCTAAAGCACTTCAGTCCCCATCCCCAAATCCTTTGGGCAAATTAGAATAAAGTGTCCCTCTGGGATGCAGTAATGGCTTATGTATCTGTCCCCATGGCTTTGCAGGAGCTGGTTGCCACCACCCACCCTCTTCCCAGGCCATACCTGTGCGGGACACAGTGCACAACCCACACCGCAGGGCTGCGCGCACACAGACGGTGTCCCACCCGTGTATGTGCCGTTCCTTTTCCTTGAAAGGCCCACCAGCTCCCACCACACAGGCCATCTTCAACACCAGCCCAAATGTCATTTCCTCTGTGAGTCCTTCCCCTGTACCTCTCAGGTAGATTTACTCACTCCCTCTTCTGTATTCCCGTGTGTGCAGAAGATGCCCATATGTGAGTTTTGCCCTGTGACATTACAACCCTTTCTTTGCTGCTGGACTGTGCTTTCCTCAAGGGCAGAGACCATGTCTCAGTCATCCTGAGTCTCAAAGGCCTAGGATGATGCTTTTCATATATGGGTTGGGCGAAGGCAGAGCTCTAATCAAGTTACTTCTCAGCTCAAAATCTTCACAAAGCCTCCCCTTTTGCCTCCTGAGTCAAACTCCCCGCCTGGCACACAGCAGCTCAGCCTCGGGGCTCTGCAAGGCTGTCCTTTCTCCTCCCCCACTCCACCCTCCTCCGCTCACCTGCACCTGCCTGCGCTGTGGCCACAGTGCACCTCTGAGCACCAGCTTACCTCTGGGCCCTTGCTCACCTGTCCCTTCTACCTCCAATGCCTACTTCTGGTCTCCACCTGTCAAAATTCTATCCACCTTTCAAAGCCCAATTCAAATGCCATTTTCTGCATAAAGCATCCCATCAGCAGATGTGGCTTTTTGCTGCTGAGAGCCAAAATACTTGGTCCCTCCCGAGTCATTCCTGAAACACTGTGCTGGGTTTCAATGGTGTGTGTGTGTGTGTGTGTGTGTGTGTGTGTGTGTGTGTGTGTGTGTGTGTGTGATTAAAGTATTTTGAGGGCAGGTATTCCCAGACTTTGTCATCGTGCAGTGCATGCAGTAGGCGCTCAGTAAATATTGGACTAAATGGAATAGGGAATCCATGCTTCACCTGCAGATGGAAAAGGCAGTAAACTGATCTCCAAGGAAGCAGCAGGACACAGATATCCTCTCCTGTCCTCTTTTTTCTCAATAGGGACAATACCTGAGCCTGAGGAAGACTGGCACCAATTGCCCCTCCTTCCCTCCCCCGGACAACATAGTTCGGCTTCCTTTCTAGGGAGGTGAGAGCAGGTGTGACCGGTGAGGCCTCCTTTGCTCCACCCCACGCTTTCCCCCCACACAGAGCAACGTTCACCTCTGGCAGAGTCGCCTTCCAGCTCCTGCAGGAGCGGCGCTGGCTCCGCGCTCGGCCGGATGGTGCGGGCAGGGGCCCGGCCCTCTGGCATGCGGCGCCTGGCCTCTGCCACCCGGGCTGCCCTGATCCTCAGCCTGCTCGCTGCCTCCTTCCACTCAGCCTGCCGGGCAGGTAGAACTGGGAGCTTTATTCTTGGCCACACTGGGAAGAGGGAGGGAGGGACGGACGGTGGGAGGAAGGGGAGGGGGCGGGCGACGATTCCTTGGCCAGGGTTGGTCCGGCACCAAAGGAAAGAGGAAAGGGGACCTTCTCATCGGAAGGACGAGGCAGGGAATGGGGACTGGGAGCGGGGTGCGGGGTGCGGGGTCTTAGCTTTGCCCCAAACCGAGATCGAATACCCAACTCCTCAGCTAGGACAGGAGCAGCCACCAAGAAAGAGGAAAAGGCACTTTGCCCGAGTCCCGTCCATCAGAGGGCCAGACTGGCCGGAGACGCCACCACGGCGTGTGCTGTTCCCCAGCGGCTCCTTCTCAGCTGCCCTGGCCTCGTGAGCGGCAATCCTGCCTTTGCACCTCTGTGTCTAACCTTCCCTTACCTAAGGTCCTCCGTCCCTCCTGCCCCCTGCACTTTCTCTGCGACTTTCACAAAACCCAACCCCGTGGAAGCTGCCGTTCCCTGCTGTCCTCTACTCTCCTGCCTCCCCGGGCTCTGGAAGTGTGGGGCCAGCACCCCACTTTCCCGTGGAGGTCTGAGCGTTGACTGGCGTCCCCAGCCTCGCTCTGCAGGGCTGGGCTCTGCATCTCACAGCACAGGCACCTCGGTCACACTCTGGTGCTCCTGGCCTCTGCCTCTGGCTTGGATCTTGTCCTCAGCTCCCTCAGAACACTGTCCACCCTGCTCCCTGACGGACTCTCCCCAGCTCAACCCCGTCCCCCGAGTGTGCATCTGTCTCTCTCATCACAGTCTCACCTCTAGCCACTGCCAGGTGACTCAGTGTGGCGGTTCAGAGCGTGGGCTCTCGGAGCCACCAAGCCTCAACCCAGCTGCAGCTTCCACAACTTACTAGCTGTGTGGCCCTGAGCAAATGACCGCTTCTCTGTCCACTGTCCTCATTTGTAAGGTGGAGATAACCATAGTGCTTATTTACAGGGATGTTGTAAAGAGGAAACAAGATGACGGCCTGTAAGGAACTTACGGTGAAATAGCACGTGGTAAACATGCAACGAGTGTTAGCAACTTTGGTCAGCGTGCTCGTTTGATTTTCCAATTCCACCCCTCCCCAAATAAAAGTGTTTAATTTCTTTCTGTTTACGCTCACGGTGCCTAGCTTATGATAGTGGCTCTAAAAAAATTGAATTGACCGATTTAGCTGCACTGAATTGTTGAGTCTTCTCAGAAGCCTTCACTTGGGGAGTGATCCCAAGTGGGACCAGTCCCTGACTGGCTCTGCTTACAAGGGAGAAGGGTGATGTTTAAAATTCTTAGGAGTTTTCACCTGGGCTATCCCATTTGAACCATGTAAAAATGATGGTATTGAACAATTTTTGACCTTAAAAAAATGGCAATTGTGTATAGTTTAACCTAATACTAGTATCCAATTAACTAGTTTTTTTCCACTCACTCTGGATGGGGACTATTTCCATCGCAGGTATAGAGGGGAGGTGAAAGTCAGGGCCAAGGAAGTTATTTGGGTTATAAGGAAATTTTAAATGTTGAGGAATCAATTTCTCCAAAACAAATAAAGACCAAGCTCTAAGCCATTTACTTGTAAATAATTTACAGTAATAATCAGATTGCATCAAGGTAATTACTATACTTTAAGCAGGACATTGGAGTGGTTTGGGGGTTGGGTGGTATAAAATTAGCCTGAGCAGCAACAATTTCATAGCTTTGGCTAAACAAGTTTCCTCCTAACTTGTCCTGCCCATGTGACAACAAGCACCTTTGAAGGACGGGCCGACCTACAGTCAGTGGGGCCTTGAGAGTTTCAGACTTTTTTTTGCATTGCCAAAGAAGTAGATTGAACAGCAATATAATTGTCAGAAAGATCCTTCAAAATCAATCTTTTGGTTTTGATCTACCAAGATTAGTGTTAGCACCGCCAGTCCTTTCTTTGATGGTGAAAATTTCCATATTTGCCCCATGCTTCCAATGTGGTAGCCACTTGCCACATGTTGCGATTGAACACTAGCACCGCCAGTCCTTTCTTTGATGGTGAAAATTTCCATATTTGCCCCATGCTTCCAATGTAGTAGCCACTTGCCACATGTGAACAACTGAAATGTGGCTAATGTGACCAAGAAGCTGAATTTTTAGCTTAACTTAAATTTTTTTTTTTTTTTTTTTTTTGTTCAAAAGATGACCAGTAAGGGGATCTCAACCCTTGGCTTGGTGTTGTCAGCACCACGCTCAGCCAGTGAGCAAACCGGCCATCCCTATATAGGATCCGAACCCGTGGCCTTGGTGTTATCAGCACCGCACTCTACCGAGTGAGCCACAGGCCGGCCCTTAACTTAAGTTTTAATGAGTTTAAATAGCCACAAGTGGCTACTGGCTGCTGTATTGGACAGTGTGGACCTTGACCCTCTACGTTCCTATACTCAGTTAAGGAGGGCACACGCGGAACGGCCTTTGTTGCTGGCATCCTTAACCCAAACCCCACCCCCAACCCCTCTAACTCTGACAGAGCTTTAAGAATTCCTGCTAAAGTTCTTTTTTTTTTTGTCTTTTTGTCAATAGTGTGTTTGGAAAGCTACGTACAAGGGTACTTCAAAAAGTTAGTGGGAAAATAAAATTTAAAAATGATACAAATCTTTTTATGAACTTTAGAGTACCCTCATAGAGCAGGCCCTTAGTCACTGGACAGCAATGAGAAATGAAGATACAGGATCACTGAATGAGAATGAAGTGACAGGAAAAAGGGAGTGTGTTAGTTTGTTTAGGCTGCCTTAATAGACACCAACCAAGTGGCTTAAACAACAGAAATTTATTTTCTCACAGTTCTGGAGGCTGGAAGACCAAGGTCAAGGTGTTGGCAGGTTTGATTTTTCTCAAGGTCTGTCCCGTTGGGTTGGGCGTCTCCCTTCTCACAAGGGCTCCACCCATATGACTTCATTTAACCTTAGTTACCTCTTTAAAGGTCCCATCTCCAAATACAGTCACATTGGGGGTTAGGACTTCAACATACAAAGTTGGAGGTCATAGTTCTATCCATAACAGGGAGTTGGCTTTGTCGAATAAAGCCGCCACGTACCTATTGTTAACCTAGGAAAAATGCATTAGAGAAAAATGTCTCCAAATGTGTTGAGTTTATTTGGGAATAGAAATAGGATGACAATCTGGAATGCAGACCATGGCGAGCCACAGTTGCATTTGGTGAGGGAAGGTAAGAGAAAGCTGTTATTGGCAAAAAGGGAGCAGTTCACGTGGGCTTCTTGGAAACAGTTCACTGGTCTCAGAGGCTCCAAGTTTCAGATTTGTCATCAGTTCATCGGTTGACATGGCATCACTGGGCACGTTCTTCTCGGAGCATCTTATGTGAATTACTGCAGTTGTAAAGAACGTCTAATGATGAACTTTGTCACAGAAACGTGTGCGTATGTGCAAAGCCAGAGATACGTGAAAGATGTGAAGGACGTGAAAGGATTTCTGGTGGATTTTTAGAAGGTCCTTGGAAATAGTTCTTAGCCCAGACAAGCAAGCATGAGCCCCCCTCCTTCCTGCCTTTCCTGGCTCTATTTTGTCTGGGTCTGACAGAAAGTGATTCCACCAAATTTTACATTATAAAGGAATTTTTTTTTTCTGGACTTTTTTAGGTATTTACAACTAGAAAACTTGTTTGAAATTCTTTGTCTGGGTCTGACAGAAAGTGATTCCACCAAATTTTACATTATAAAGGAATTTTTTTTTCTGGACTTTTTTAGGTATTTACAACTAGAAAACTTGTTTGGAATTCTTTTTTTTTTTTTAATTAAATCGGATTGAGGATTGATTATACATATTTGTGGGGTACGGAATCATATTTCAATACATGTATATAATGTATGATGATCAAATCAGGATAATTAGCATATTCAGCATTATGAAACTTAATCATTTCTTTGTAATGAGGACATTCGATCCCTCTCTTCTAGCCATTTGACAATATGTAAATTATTATTAATTATAGATGCCTAGTTCGATGGTACACCAATAGAACTTATTTTTCCTATCTAGCCGTTTTGTGTCCATTAACCAGGCTCTCACTCTCTCTCCCCCCTTCCCCTTTCCTGCCTCCAGTAACCACAGCTCTGCTCTGTTCTTCTGAAAGCTTGAGTTAGTATACGATGGAAATTTTATAACACTTTCATAATACTGACTACCAATTTACAAAAAAGATTTCAAACTCTATGCCTGGAAATGGCTTTTCCTACTGCCTAAGACTACCTCCTGTCTTTTCTTCCAGAAGCAAGCAACAGCAACAACTCAGCCTTGACTGCCCACCACCCAGACCTCGGGACCCTGGAACAGTGCCCCAGTAAGCTTCTCCTGACGATGGCCCTAACCCCAGAGCTGGCCCTGGATCTGGGAGGAAACTTAAGCCTCTGTGCTTTCTGTTGATCGGCATCAGGTGGCCAGGGGTCTTCCTGACCTTCCTGTGCACCAGTGTGGTTTGTCCCAGAACTGTATGCACAGTTGGCTTTGATCCTGAGCTAGGCTCACAATCTTTGGTACAAGTGGCTTTAATGACCCATCCCCCAGGTCAGCAACCAAAGATGCCCTGGGTTCAAATGCTTGTAGTTTGAGGTGGAGAAGCCATAAAAACCACCTAGTCCACTTCTACCCAGTGCAGGAGCTTGGTCTTGGTACTCTTAGTATTTTTTCCTTCTTTTTTATTTTTGCAGCTGGCAGGTAAGAAGATCTGAACCTTTGCATATTTCTGTTCAGCCCCTATTTGAGTACTTCCAGTGGCAAAGAGCTCAGTAATTCATAAAGGAACCACTGTTATGCATGCCTAATTAATAGAAGGTTTTGCTTTATTTTAAGTCTGGCTCCTTTATCCTGCCCTCATTGAATGACGGTATATGTTTACTTCTGGGAACTGGCAGAGGAGGATACCAGGCAATATTATGCAGAGGTTAAGCATATGGTTTTGGAATCCTATGGACTTGGGCTTGACTTCTACTTCTGCCATCTTGTGACCGGGGGAAGCCTCAGAGTCTTCATGTAAAATGAGAATAATCATTGTACCTATCGCTTTGTAAGGAATAGGTAAGGCACTGTGTGCAAGCACGTAGCACAGCGCCTGGCACATAGTGGGTGCTGATAAATGTTAGCTCCGGCATGGTTGTTGCTGTGGTTATAATACTGGAGGAAGAGCCAGGCAGGCTGATGTGATGTCCCCTGTCCTTCTTGCTTCCTTCCCCGCCAGATGTGGACTTCTGCCCGCAGGCAGCCCGGTGCTGCCACGCTGGCGTGGACGAGTACGGCTGGGTGGCCGCGGCTGTGGGCTGGAGCCTGTGGTTTCTCACCCTCATTCTGCTCTGCGTGAACAAGCTGATGACACTGACACCGGAGGAGCCCAAGGACTTGCCGGCGTGAGCCACAGGAGCAGCCCCGAGAGGGGCGTCACCACCATCTGTGGATGAGGGGCGGGGAGGAGGGCTAATGCCCCTTGTTACTTTAAGTCATTTCACCTTAAAGCTGCAGTAACTTCTACAAGGGAAGGAAGGAGAAAGGGACAACCAGGGGAGGCAAGGCCAGTGCTGCCTTCACGCCTAAGGGCAAAAGCGCCCGGCCTTGCACCTGGCGAACCCCTTTCCCACGCTGGTCCCCATGGGCACTGCCCCGGTTTCAACCCTCTCCTTCCTCCCAGCATCAGGGGGTGCATAAGAAGCATAAGACTTAGTCTTATAGTCAACACGTTCAAAACCAAGCTCAGAACCGTCTCACTGAACACCGGTCACTGTCTCTTCCTTTACTCCAGTCCAGGGCGTCACTGTCATTTCAAAATGGGGGACTCACTGTGACACTCCCACCTCCTTCGTCCCCCCTGCTCTCCGCCTTCATACCTTCTGCAGCTCTCCTGTCCCACTCACTGTCCCTGTCAGCAGCACCCTGGTTCTGGCCCTCACCGCATGACCCTGGGCTAGTGGGGGACATTTCACTCTGTTCGTGCTGCCTTTAGAACCTTCCTCCCCGGCTCCTGCTGTCACCCCCCTGCTGACAACTGTCAGTAGCTCCTAATGCTGAAAACTTTTCAGCCTGTCATTCAGTTCTCTGTGTGAATCCGCCCATCTTTCCAGGTCTGTCCCCTAGCACATCTGGGAATGAGGGCTGTGACTGGCTCACTCCTCATCCTGGTGTCTTCAATTTCTTTGCTGACATTTCCTCTGCTGGGATGATGGCCTTCCAACTCCACCTCAGAATGACGGCCATGCCCCAAAGTCCAGCTCAAATAGCTGATCTGCTGGAGCCTCCCCTAGTCATCCTCGGGTGACCTGGAGCTGGTCCTCTTCATAATCAGTTTATACTTACTCACACACCTAGGGCACAGTAAACTCTGCATATGTGTGTCCAATGGATGGATGGATGGATGAACGATTGGATAGATGGATGGAAGGATGGGCAGATGGATGGGTGGGTGGATGGATGAACAAGTGGATGGATGGATGGACCAATGGGTAAACAAATGGATGGATGGATGGATGGATAGATGAACAAGTGGATGGATGGATGGATGGAAGGATGGACAGATGGATGGGTGGATGGATGGATGGATGGAATGATGAATGGATGGATGGATGGACAAATGAATGAATGGATGGGTGGATGGATGGATGGACGAACAAATGGATGGATGGATGGATGGATGGACAAATGAGTGGATGGGTGGGTGGGTGGATGGATGGATGAACAAATGGATGGATGGATGGGTAAACAAATGAATGGATGGATGGATGGATGAATAATGGACAGACAAATGGGCCCTTGCCCTAGATGACTTATGATCATCGCTCTGTATTCAGAACCTCCATTTTTCTCCAAATGGTTGAAATAACCAACCTCTGAAGAAGCCAATGATTTGGTCACTGCTCTCTCAGCAGATGACAGACATCATCACCAAGCATGGAGGGTGGACATTTCATGTCACTGTGAACTCTTCCAGTGGAGGTTGAGAGGAAGGGAGGGTGGGTGAATCAGAGGGAAGAAAGGACAAAATGACTTTTTATGAAATAATTTCTGCCCTTTGTGAGAAAACATGTATTTACATTAGATAAACTATAATTAGTCAAAATACAAAAAAGAAAAATGAGAGGGCTCTGAAACAGGAAGAAATATATTCTAGAGGTGACAAATAACTCAAAGCTGCTCAACTGCTGTTCCAGAAAATCAAAATAAGTTTCCTGACCATGAGAACCGAAGGGATCACTGGCTCATCCTGCCGTCTTCTAAAAAGCCAGATAATTCTGAATCTCCAGTGTTTAATCAGTACAGTGGGATGAGTTGATTGTCCCTAAGTGTTAAATGATCTCCTAAGTGTATAGATGTCTGCATAACACCCGGTGCACTGTTGTGGACATACACGCGAGTATGTGTTCCATTATTTTAGAAATTCAAGGAAGGAGTTTCTACAACATGTGATGGTTTATTTCTTAAGAGATTAAAAGATTCCTTAAGAATCACACTTTGATTTAATATCTGTAAACATTTTAAAAATAAAACAGTATGCGACATAGCGGTAAGAGTACTCATTTTAAAATAAGGGACATTAACATTTCTGGCTAATGCAACAGAAATAAGTCACTTTGTCTTGTTGGGCATCAATTTTCCAGGCAGAAAATGCGAAAGTTGGACCACATCAGTGGTTTTTTTTTGGTTTTTTTTTTTTGTCTTTTTTCGTGTCCGGCAACGGGATCGCAACCCTCGGTGTTGCTCCCGTGCCTCGCTCAGCCAGTGAGCGGGAACCGGTCTGTATGTGGGATCCGAATCCTCGGCGGGAGAGCCGCTGCGCTCCCAAGCAGTGCACTGTAGCAGTGCGCCACTGGGCCGGCCCCACATCAGTGGTTTTAAGCTCAGTGCAAAAGCTCATGGAACTATTTGAGCAGCTTCATGGAAAGGGGGCGGACATGAGACCCGTTGTCCTTTCAAACTTAGCAATGGGGCTCTCACCTCTTATATATCAGACCTCCCTGGTAAGATTTCATTTGTGCTTTAACAAGTCAGAGCACCCATGGATGTCCGAGATCCCCTCCAGTCTGGGACGACAGGTAGAGTCTTAGACTATACTGAAGCGAAGCATGTATAGTCACTGCCATGTCACATTGAAACATAGGCATTTTGTGAATTCCGCTGCTTTCACCTGCACAAGAGGAAGGATAGACCGAATCTAACAACCACTCCCTGCTTGGAGACTGGAAAAAAAGACGATCATCTAGTTAGATGGTTCTACTTCCCAGATGCTACATCTCAGATTTATTCTTGGCATAGAATCTCTTGATTATAGAGGAGCAAAAATCTGTCAGTGAGTTAAAAAAGACGATCTGAGAGGGAAAAACAAGCATCAATTTCCAGAGATCTAAGAGCTTCCTGGTTAGGCAATAGGAATTGCCTAGTGGCAGGTGGACTGTTCATTTTAAAATTTTGCCATTAGTAGTCAACACTGTCCTCAATAGCTTGCAGACTATGTGACACAGAGTCGATATAGTACAGGGCATTTCTCTATCAAAATGTCAGGTACAGAAATAAAATGCTAAACATTAAGGTGTGGCACAATTATCTGACTTGTAAGTATGCATGGTACCCAAGAACAAATAAATCAAATACATAATTTTCTATTAAAAATTAAATGGTATAGCTTGTAAGAGTAATAGAAAACAAGTCTTAGGATTGCTTGGGCCTTGTCTTAGTTTGGACTGCTATAACAAATTATCAAAGACTGGGTGGCTTATAAACAAGGGACCTTTATTCCTCGCAGTCTGGAGGCTGGAAGTCTAAGACCAGGGTGCCAGCAGAGTTGAGTTCTTGTGACAGCCTTCTTCCTGGTTCACAGACAGCCGTCTTCTCACTGTGTCCCGATGTGCTGGAAGGAACCAAGAAGCTCTCAGGGGCCTCTGTTATAAGGGCACTAATCCCATTCATGAGGGCCCCACCCTCATGGAACGAATCAACTCCCAAAGGCCCCATCCCTTAATTCCCACACCATGGGGGTTAGGATTTAACATGAGTTTTGGGGAATACATTTCCACAAAGATATATGTAAGCATATTTTTAAACTTAGAGAAATAATCTAGATGTTTTTGATAAAGAAACTGCTCTCTCTGCACCCTGGCATTTGTTTTGAAGTCATATATAAACATACAGCGTGACTGCATGGGTTGTCGCTGGTGTGTGGCTGGAGTGCCTCGTAGACAACCTCTACCTGGTATCTACTTCCAGCCCCACCTGGCTCCGTGTCATCCTCCTCACTTCTTCCAGAGTGATCTTCCTAATTCAGGACTCCCCTTGTACCCATGGGGATGTGTTCCAAGACCTCCAATGGATACCTGAAATAGTACTGAAATAACCCCATGTGTACTGTGTTTTTTTCCTATAGATACCTACTTATGATAAAGTTTAATTTATAGATTAGGCACAGTATTCTTGTGCTTTGGGGCCATTATTAGGTAAAATAACAGTGACATGACAAAAGTAGTGAGATGCCAAAGACAGCTAGTACATGACTCCCAGGCTGGTATCATAAACGGTGTGGATACACTGGACAGAGGGATGGTTCACGTCCTGAGTGGGGTGGAACTGGATGGCACAAGATTTCATCGCATTATTCAGAACAGCACACAACTTAAAAATTGCAAGTCGTTTATGTCTAGAATTTTCCATTTAATATTTTTCGATCTCATTTGACCATGGAAAATTGAAACCATGGAAAGCAAAACCGTGGATAAGGAGGACTACTGTATAACTGGCTCCTTTGCTCTTTTATTTTAGAAAAACGTATGACAGACTGCCAATGTCAGACCCAGCCCTTCTTCACGTGAAGTTTTATTCATTTATAAACGGCACTTCCCTCTGGGGTTTTCTGGATGTGTGGGCAGAGGAGATCATCATACCTTGAGTTCATGTTCCTCTGTCACCACTGGTCTCTGCCAGTTCCACTCATTTTACGCTTTATTCCCTTTTATCCCCATTCCGCTCTCTCAATCCCCTGCTGCCACTCCCTAAGGCAACCATATGGTCCCTGTACATGCTCTTATAAAAAGTGAATATCATTATAAGTTCAGGCGTTTGACTTCGCATTAGCTCTCATCCTGTTTTGCTCACTCGGTAGTAATGTTTGCAGGATCTGCGTACATGGCCACGTACAATTGTCCAGAGCTTCTGGCTGCTGCACAGGGTTCTATGGAGTGGGCACACCATGGTTCACTTCTCCATTTCCTGGGAGATGGATTCCTCCCAGCCTGTCTGCAAATCCCATTTCCACATCAAAGTGGGGTGAAAATCCTCATTCTTTCCTTTCAGGGGCCTGTGATTATACGTCACTGGAAAATATTGCCAGGTGCAGTATTGCTGCATCACAGAAGCAAAACATTTTTTTTTTTTTTTTTTGACAGCTGGCCAGTACAGAGATTGAACCCTAGACCTTGATGTTATCAGCACTATGCTCTAACCAACTGAGCTAACTGGCCAGCCAGAGAAACACATTCTTAATTAAACTAGACACTACAGGATAACCTGTTTCTCAAATTGGCATATCGATATTTCATCCAGTTAACCCAAAAGTTGAAATTGGCTTTTCATTGTTTCTTTCTATTTCCCTATTTTAAGATAGACATCAATCATATCCATGCCTCCACCTAGGAATAATACGCACAGCATTCTCACTGTTAGACATTGAATTTCCTATACTAAATTAAATTTTATTTTGAACCTGAAGTCAGCATCCATATTGATTTGCATCAGAGGTAGCATTTCTCTTTTAATGTGATTTTCTTCTAAAGATGGCTATAAATGAAATTCTAGGGAGTGTGCATTTTGG